TCTGAATATGAATAAAGTGCTGCCTCTTTGCAGAACAAAGTTGCTGAGAATCCTGGCTTAGAAAAAGGTGAAAAAAAGAAAAAAAAAATGTTTGGTCAATAATTTTTGTCTGTTGTAAAAGCCTGGAGGATTTTATTTTTTGTCCTTGAGAAATGGAATGAACTAACAGGACCAGAACATCGTGCAACAAGACACCTGGCATAGTCCAAATATTCATATATAGGAAGCTGGGCTGCTACAACCAGGCTTTATTTATCATTCTTTTGTACTTGAGCACCAGTAATTCAGATAATGTCCAGGTGGTGAAGGAGGAGAGTCCATGACTTAGAAAACTCACTGGGCAAGCTAATCCACAGAAAGATTCAGATAATAAAGAAGGAGCACAATTTGTATATAAAATCAACACATCAGCACAGCAGAAGTGGGTTTTTAAGTGAGTGAAGTGGCAGAACTGACTGAAATTGGAGAATAAGCTCTGTGGGCATAACCAAGATGAGAGCTCTACACAGACACTCTCCAACCTCCCAGTACGTTCAGCACCATTTTCCCCAAAAATCTTCTCCCCAAACAGTTTACACTACAATTTAGTCAACACAACAAAAGCAAACCGAGCTATTATCTTGTGGTAATAAGTCCCACAAGTTAACAAAACATTACCAATTACAGCAATCTGTCTATCCGTGTTTAACGCTTTTCCATTTCACCAAATTGTTTCTTGTCTGGTATCGTGGGAGAAGGGAAAATCATAAACACCCAGAAGGCCTCTGCTATAACTTGCCCTCTGAGAATTTGTTCTCTTGATCTTCTCAGTACTACTAATCTCTCAAAACTCTTTTTAAATGGAAATCAAGCTATGCCTTCCCTATTTTCATCACTACTCCCTGGACTTCTCTGACTAGGTAAACAGGGTTCAGTATTGTTCAACAGCAGCAGAACAGGCTGCATATCAATGGGAACAGGTGAAGAGAGACACACGCATCTAAGATAAGGATCCTTTCTTAGAAAAACCTCTGTGGAAAACAGAATATTTTATTTTAGCTATTTTCTTTGCAATGAGAGACAGCTGAATAAATTTATCCCAGGTTCCCTAGGTAGCATTTTACATTAAAGAGGAGAACAGATACTGAATGCAAATAGAACAAGAACAATTCTGAGCAATGCATGAGGAGGTACTGTGACTGTGTCTCAAGGGGTTTAGAAATACGTTCCACTGCAGATTTCAGCCTTCACATGAGGCTGAAGTTACTGGGGATGTCACTTTCCCCAGTAACCAGCACACTTATGGAAAGGTCAGTCATGTGGGAAAGGAAGGCATTTCTCATTTGTTTAACAATTGAAGGTGGAGAAGCTTCAAAGAAGTCCAAGAAATTTCAGCCTGAACTCATTCAAATAGGATTTCCTTCTGCAGGTAGCACCATAAAAGCAGTTTTTTTATCTTTAAATCCTTAACTGCTCTAAAACTACTTCCAACACTTCAGTCCCTTTTCCTCCCTGAACCTGAACAGATAGATCTGGAGAATTGCTTTTCATTTCCAGCAGTAAGAGGGACATACAAAAGGAAAGAATCAGAAATATTCTGTTTGCACAAGATACATGTCCCCATCCTACTGTCAAGGAGGATCTTGCCTGGTTTTGCAGCAACAGCAAAATCACGAATAGCCTCGGTAACGAACTGCATACTCTTTAGTGTTTGCAGATTCATTACCCTGTTTCACGCAGCCACGAGCCTTGAGCACAGATGAAAAACACACATTTATTCACTTAAAAATACATAATCTGCATGCAGCCTCAAGTTCCACAGTATGCAGAAACATAGTCTAACCAGCCAATGCTCATCCATCCATGTTAAGCCCCAGTAGCTGTGTGGTCCCCTTGGAGGACTTGAGCATCACAACAAGGCAGGCTAATTAAGAGAACCTGGGGACAGAGGGAGCCATTTTGGCTGGATGTGTTCTCAAGCATAAAAGATGTTAACTAGCAGCTGGGGACGTGAATAGTCATGTTAGTGCTGAAAAGGCACATGAGCCACTGTCCAAGAATGATGTATTACATGATGAGAGGCCATGCTTTGCTTTCAGCTTCATAGCTGTTTTGTGAAGAACTGAGAGGACTACAAGAAGGATCAGCTCTGGACTGGAGTCCCTGCCACATTTCTCACCTGGCTTTCTGGAGGCTCTTTCCCCTTGGTTGTCAGTTACAGCACCTTGGAGCTGCAGCTCCCAGCGAGGCTCAGGTTGACACACTGGTGCTCAAAATAGCACCATTTGCACATCAGACCCCAGAGGGGACTTCACAGCATCCGTAGGTCAGCCCATACAGCAAGGTCCTTCCTCTGCCTGTTGCAGGGAGCCAGGACTGTGGAGCTCTGAGCAGTCATCACGTGGCCATAGGGAAACTGCCCTTCAACTGGCCCCTCACATCGGCACTTTCTTTTTATAAGCATTCCCTGTTTTCTTCTCTTTAGATGAACAAGAGACTACAACCACAGTTTAACCACTCATTAAAACAAATCACATTCATTCAAAGAAAGCCCTGAACTTGGCACAGCACTGCTCATGTGGGGTACTGCTGAGGAAAGGTAGGTAACCTGCAGGCCCGACTGCAGCCACGCGGCCTCTGTTTCTGCTGTAGTGACCTGTGTGCCTTCCATCCCTTTTCATTATGATACTTAGTACAGGAGACATAATTGCCACAGAGTATTCACAGGGCTCCACAGATGTGGTCTGTACATGAAAAGTGCTTCATACTTTGGAGTGTGTGAAGTACTAAGTAAGCACTAGCCAATTAGTCCTCAACAAGACTCCAGCTGGATCTTAACATCCCAGAAAGGGTACCCCTAAGTGAGAGTCAAGTCAGAACACGCCACAGAGATCCATGATCCTGCATGGCCACTATGTTCAGACAGAGCCAGCCTGAGAAAAAGGCACACGTCCACCCCCGCAGTTTGTCCACAAGTCTTTGCTAGTAGCAAAGGACTAACAGGATGGGGCAGGCAGAGCCTAAGTTCTCTGGGACAGATCATCTTTCTTCCCCTGTGTTTATGCAGCACCTACTAAAAGGGAAACTGGTCTAGTCTTCAAAGGACAGTCATAGCAACATCATCAGGATCCACTGTTTATGAAGGCAGGTAGTTCCCACCGCTTCTACTTTGCAGATAAGAAAACTAAGGCCAAAACAAGAAGAGAGATGAGTACAGAGTCAGTTCAGAGCAGGAGAAAAGAACCCAGGCAGATTGTTGTTAGGAATTCCTGCACCACCTTGTCAGCTCCTTAGGTCCCTTCCAACATTGTCACTGCACACAGAGTTGTCACTGGTGTATTCTCCCAGCTCATGCAGCTCTGATGCATGCAAGGCACCTTGTCCCTAGCAATAACCTAACTTCTGTCCCGTCTGCGGCCTCATTGGCAGAACTTAAAACAAAAGCAGAAGAAATGCTTTCTGCCTCACAAAATGGCAACAGGCTCAAACTGAGTTGACACACTATCTGTTCTCTAGCAGAAAATGATTTTCCAAGGGATTTCCACCCACAATACTATGCCAGGTCATCTCTCAACATGAGAGGCAGGGAAGGTGTTTCCCTGGGAACAGTAACCATGGCAAAGCTCTTACCGGTGTCTTTCCCTCTCTACCTACAGGAAGAAAAAGAACAGCAGATGCCTGAGCTCTGCCTCCAGCAGTCCCAGGGGCCCGCAAAGCCATAAACAACCTGGAAGCACCTGATCAAAGATTCAGGAAGGAACTTCAATTAATTCTGTTCTGTCTTTTACTCAGATACCAGATATTTCTGCCACACTACGCTGAACTCGGAATGCCTCATTACAAAGGGTGCAACTGGAAACATCAGTGTTACTGAAAGGTCAGCCAAATACAGCAACACGTAGGTAGGCACTGAGCCCAAAAATCAGCACGGGTAGATGGCCAACAGAAGCAGAGGTACAATGGACTGGCTTTGCAGTTTTCAAACCCTGGCATTGTGTGTTAGAGCCCTATTAAAGAAAGCATCTGCAAACCCCAATTTGTAAGCAGTAACTGCCAATAGATGACCTGCTTCTGGTCCACCTCTTTTTCTGCAGAATCTTCTCGATTTACCAGATTAATGCAAATCTCTTTGCTGAAGAGCTAATTAAATCATAATAAACGATTCAACTTGAAACTAAAATCATATTGCATGCTTTTGGGGATCTTTTTGTTACGTATAATTGAACATGTTATAAATTTCTGGATTTGAGTTTTGCCAAGTATTTATTCAAGTTAGCAGAGCAAATAAAACCAAAGGGCTCCTGGCTTAATCTTTCTCTCAGATGACACAGAGAAAAAGCATTCTATGATTCAGCAACCTAGATACATGACTAAACAGTCAACAGCCTAGATTTCAACTACCACCACTCCACTTCAGAGTTAACATGCAATTAGCACAAACTGCCAGGACACCAGTATCTTACACTAGCAATCCACTCAGAGTGGAATACTGCCCTGTACCCAGACAGACTCACACAGAGCACAAAAAACTCAGTAGTCCAAGTTTCTGTTACGAGTACAGTGAAACCAGAATCTTTCCAGTGAGAAAGATACTGATCTTCTACATAGCAATTTAGGAGCACAGGGTGACAGGGTCAACTGGGTCATGAAACCCACTGCCCCAACTCCTTTACATTCATTTCCAAAGGTATTTTACATGCACAGCAAATATCTGCTCCCGACATATACAGAAACCTCAGTTTCTAACACCAGAGTGAAATAAACGTTTATTCAGAATGACTCTATCATTCATTTTAGCGTCCTCTAGGTCAAATCACTGCAAATATCACAGAAATATACAGCCAAGTCAAATGATGCACTCATACCCGAGTTAATATCCAAATCCAGCCAGTTGTCTGTATTTACCACTGACTCATCAGAGAAAGCATTAGAAAAATAATGTCTTTTTGCAAACCTCCTAGGAATGCAATGTAGCTACCACTAAGAGAAAATGCTATTTCTTTTAAAGATACTGTACATACCTTTCTTTGCCATGCGCTCCAGTCTAATGCATCCTCCTATAAAATCATGATAAGATTTCATTTCTCCTTCTGTTATCCGGACAGCAGTGAAAGGTGGGTTCCTAGGCACCTGTTGTCCACATTTCCGACACCGAGAAGCCATTGCCACAGCTCAGGAGACTCTCGTGAGGAATCTGCTCTCTCAGTTTGCTGGAATCCAGCCTGATTCTTCAGCCGTCAGTCCAGGCTGGTGACTTTATCCCTCTTAGTTCATTCAAGGTCACCCTCGCCAGCAGGATGTTCACCATTGCAATTGGCTAAGACTTTTATAGGCTTACTGACTGTGTTTGTTTCTTCCTCCTGTTTTCAATATCAGTTTACTTTATTCTCTCATTCAGAATGAAAGCTGTGAACCTCAGCACAGCCCATGCCCTCAAGGCTTCCTTATCATTAATTTAAAGCTATTTTATAAGCGACAATGAAGAGACAAGATCCCAGAAACACAATGCAAGATCACAGACCTCTCTTAAAGAGCATGCCAGATGTGTTCACAAAGAATTTTTCTTTAAGAAATGGTTTTTCTTCATGATTTTTGGTCCCTTTTGGGCTTATGATTCTTCATCACTGAGAATGGATTTTTTCACTTCTGCATTTCAGCTTGGACGATGCAAGGAGACTGCTCTGCCGAGCTGCTCAACCAATTACTCATATGTCTGGCAGTGGTACTGGGAGGCTGCAACTGTACAGAAAAGCCCTCTGCTGCTGTGCATGGTCCCTGCTCATAAGATCTGATAATCTAAATGAACAGAGTAGCAAATGGAGGACAGAGGGAAATATTGCTGGCAGACATGCTCTTCTAGCTGTGCAACCTACACCCAAATTTTTTTAAAAAAATAAATTGGATCCATCAGTTTGACATAAAATGAGATATTTGAAACATACATTTAGAAATCTCCCTTTGAAGGTGACGGATATTTATGTTGACTCTTTTCCCTTTTAAAAGTTACAGTAACATAAATCCCTGGTCAGAGAGTCTTGTGAAGAAACTAGTACTTGGGGAACTGAGTGCAGAGCACTTAATCGTGATGCAGTGCAATAAAAAGGAGCCTTCCCTGGGGTGAGAAGGGGACTGCACAGGAGGTGCATGAATAGGCACAAGGCCAGCACTGGTGACAGTGCAAAGACTACAATGAGCAGCTAACGAATCAGGGCTGAGCTGCAAAATGGAGCTCAACTGCAGCACAGAACAAGCTTCCTGCAAGGATCTTACACATAGGGCAGGAGAGTCTTTGCCTTCCTCTGCCTCAGTCACTACCACCTGTCGGCACTTTACATAGCTGCATCCAGTGTTGCTCAGCTCATGGCCCTCTCAGGTCACAGCTGATCCTCAGGTATTGAGTGGGGAAGGAGAGGCCTAATTAATACAAATGAGAGAATGAACTAGAGGGGACAGAGATACCCAGGAGAAAAAAAGCCTCACATGATGCCATTACTAAAATGGTGAATAACTACATGGACAGGCATGAATACCTGTAAGCTGAAGCATACAGAAGTCCACTCGGCTTTACTTCTTCCCCATTCCACAAACTTCTGCAGCTTCTCCCCTGGCAGCTCCGCTGCTCCCCAACCACTCAGTGAGCTGTTTCAGCTCCTTAACTACACACAAACAGATCATGCAGTAAAACACTACCAGACCTGGAAAGCAGCGAGTCTCAGGATCTCTCCTTTTGCTGAAAGGAAGCTATAAAGCGGATCTCCACTCTTGAAGTAAAAGATTTGTGCTCCTTTGCCCCCCAAATTTTCTGCATGGCATGAAGCTGGTCACCCTCCTGCTCTTTGCTAACACCCTGCCTCCGTAGTGAGGACAATGATGTACTGAGCTGTTGGGTGACCTGATTCATTAGCATTTGTAAAATATTTATTAGAGCTTCCATAGAGGAATCCCCAGGCGGCTGCAATATTTTGCAGATAGGGAGAGCAGTGGCACAGAAGACAGAATTAATTTGTAGAAAACTGTTATCATGAGATAAGAAAACTAGAAACATAACACAGCAGTTTTATCTTACAGCCTGTCCTCCATTCTCATCTGTTATAGGGGCTCAAGGTGTCCTTCCATACACAGGCAAACATGATGTGCCTTGGAAAACAAGCTTTTCTGACAATATGTTCATGTGTCTGTCTGACATACACAGAATAAACGCACTTCAACCGTGCACATATATACATATACAATGGGGGAGAATCCAGCATTTGTGACAATACGTTTCTGTCTGCCATCCTCCCCTGCATATGCTGTTCCCACCGGTATCCATGTGGCTTAGCAACAGGAGGATCTGTGAGACACTGTTCCACGGGGGAGACTTGATGCTGGAAGTGGGATATCAGATGAAATCTGCCCTAGGTCTGAGCTTCTGAAGCACAGGTAGCCACAGCACATAT